ACCGCTGTGACCTGTATCCCCAACTGCTATGACCTGTATCCACAACCACTGTAACCTGTATCCCAAACCGCTGTGACCTGTATCCCCAACCACTGTAACCTGTATCCCAAACCGCTGTGACCTGTATCCCCAACCGCTGTGTCTCTGCGTGTCTGTGCTTTACACACATAAATATGTCCATGTGCTTGTGCAATATTTAACCGCCATCTTACCGTCCTGCATGATGTTGGAGAAGTCTGTGATGAGCTTGGTCGGCTTCTTCCACTCTGGCCCAACTGACAGCGGCATGGCGGAAGGCTGGGGGAACAGGAGACGAGTGGAAACCCAGTGCAGTGCTGATGCTCGTATGGTCAGCACTCTACCAACGGGGGGTTACGGTAGGGGTCCTCGCTACTGTGAAATGTATTGCTCATGACCAGCAGTGCGGGGGGGGGGGGGGTTAAAGTCATTTTTTTTAAACCACACGCTCTGGGAGCCACTGAAAATAGTCCCGTGACCCACCAGTTGAGAAACATATATATATAAACCATATATGGTCTATTATGCCCCGAGTGGCCCTTAACTAAGCAATCTCTCTGGGAACCAAATTTATGGTGGCATGAGGTCAGGGATCAGTGGTGTTAGAGACAGAACCGACCCAGACCTGGGTCACCTGATGTCACATATCACAGCGCGCAAGTGTCTGCCAGAGCATGTGGGATTTCAGGGGAAATTTACAGCTAAACACATGACACATTACAGACTATATGACTGGCTGACTCTGTTATCTCAAATGTTTGTCACTTTGCACAAAAGTGGTTCATAAATAAATTTTTAAACTATCAAAGAAAAGACTTTGAATCATAGGATTTATCAGCAGTATTCTTAACATCAAGAACTTCCACTTTAAATTCAGAGATCTTTCAGAGGACTGGAACTAGGACTATCTATTAGTTGCTATGTTGTTTGATGTGGGATGGACAGGTATCACATGCGAGGCTCTGATTTTCCCTGTGAGGTTTGTCAGATCTGTACAGTGTCCAGAATGCCTTGACCCAAGCCAGCAGCAGAGAAAGCCTACTGTGAAGCCATCGGAGACCAGCGGGCTCCAGTTACGCCATGGACATTCCTGGGCTGGCAAGTTATAAAAAGCCACAGCGAGGAGCTGAGCTGGACAATCAGCAAATTCTCCAAACGAGCAACGTGATTTAGGACTCGGGCTGAAAGTGAAAATGTCCGTTTGCCAGCCATGAATAAGTAATATGTAACTGCAATCAGGAGAAAATGATGAGGACAGTGACCGTTTCAACATCATACTCTGAACAAACATGTACAACTCACATCACTGCTTTCCATGAGAGTTTACTCTTAATTAATTAAGTGAATTAATAAATGATTCCTGCCTATCTGTGAAGTCTGTATGCTGTTGCGTTCTCTGATAAAACCACGTGATTTGATCTTGTTCCACATAAAATACAGAAATGCAGAGATATTTATGTATTTAGGTTGTTTGTGCCCCTTTTGCAAAATGAAACATTGTTGCAATATAATCAATTTAGATGTTTCACAAGAATGCAAGATCCCCTTGATGGAGAGCTTTCAAGAAAGTGGCCCACTCTGCGAGCAGCTGTCATCACCAGCCTTAGGAATCGTAGCACTACATGGTCTCCTCATTCTGGAGGCACCCTGATGCTCGGTGCCCGAACCCTAATAAACAGAACCGCTATGTTTCTCCACTTACCGCGGTCTGGGAACCCTCAGGGTAGGAGACAGAAAGGAAGATGTTCGGATTATTCCTGTGAAAATTACAAGAGTCCCAGGTTACTTCGGACCTGAGGCTTGGGTACTCCTCCCAGCGTTTCTGTACAGGAATGGATGGTATTTCTTCACGGTGGGGGTGGGGGGGGGGGGGGTGTGCATGTGTATGTGCGTGTGTGTGTGTGTTTTGGGGGGCTGGTCTTCTCCTGCAGGGAAATGCTGAGGCCAACTGTAGCATTATCCGGACAAACCATGCCTATCCATCCAGTCCCTATATATAGACACTTGGAGTACCAGGTGTCTGTGGGATGTTGTGATTGGATAAAAAGACATGCCCACTGTTGCCACGTGTTAATTGGTTAATCTCTTATTGGGATTTTCACCCGCTAGATCACAAAAGCTGTTGCCCTTGCGCCAATCCATGACAGCATCCTGGGTATTTATGTGCTCAACAGCTATGCTCTATCTCTGCAGGCCTGATTTGTCCCTCAGAACAGCCCCTTCGCTCTTTGTTATCCGGATTATCACAGACTATAATGATTTGGTTTACAGCTTCAGAAAACACCTGTTCCTGGGTTCCTGTGGCAAGGAGCCTGCTTCAGATGTTTTGCAGCTTCAGAAAACACCTATTCCTGGGTTCCTGTGGCAAGGAGCCTGCTTCAGATGTTTTGCAGCTTCAGAAAAACACCTCCTCCTGGGTTCCTGTGGCAAGGAGCCTGCTTCAGATGATTTGCAGCTTCAGAAAACACCTGCTCCTGGGTTTATGTGGCAAGGAGCCTGCTTCAGATGTTTTGCAGCTTCAGAACACACCTCCTCCAGGGTTCCTGTGGCAAGGAGCCTGCTTCAGATGATTTGCAGCTTCAGAAAACACCTGTTCCTGGGTTCATGTGGCAAGGAGCCTGCTTCAGATGTTTTGCAGCTTCAGAAAACACCTCCTCCAGGGTTCCTGTGGCAAGGAGCCTGCTTCAGATGTTTTGCAGCNGGGTTCCTGTGGCAAGGAGCCTGCTTCAGATGTTTTGCAGCTTCAGAAAACACCTCCTCCTGGGTTCCTGTGGCAAGGAGCCTGCTTCAGATGTTTTGCAGCTTCAGAAAACACCAGTCCCTGGGTTCTTGTGGCAAGGAGTCCATCATCAGGGGCGCCATAAGGGGGAGGAAAGCTAGGACGATTCCAATGGCCCCTGAGTGACAGGGGCCCTAAAAAATTAGGAAAATAACTGGATTGGTTTGGACTGGGGGGCCTAATATGATATGCTTTCATGGGGCCCAAAATCTCTAGCAACGCCCCTGTCCATCATACTGTAGATGTTTTACAGCTTCAGAAAAAATATCCATCTGTGGGATTATAATATATGAATAGAAATGTATGAAATCCTAATCTTGATAAAAGAGTCTACAAGAGATTAAATAATCTAATAACAATGGCTTACATCATTGATTGTAAAAAGATGGTTGTATATGGACAGTTCTACAAAATTTGACAGTTGTAATAGGTGTAATCAAGTAAAATGGTGTAATAACAAATTAATAGCTGGAGAAAACTAAACGTCTCAACATAACATGCAGGGTTCTGTGGTTAACTGGTGCATCTGTCACCGCTACATCGTAATTAGGAGAGGGCTGGACAGTCAACTGAATACTAGGATATTAGCTAGATTATTTTTAGGGTGTGGGCATGTGGAGCAAATACCTGAGCCCAGTTACTGAATCCCAGTAAACTGTGAGAAATACTGACCCTGGCCACTAGGAGCAGCCTACTTCCATGTTTATATAAACTGCCACCGGGCTAAACTTAGCAGTTAGACTGACACCTAAGCTAGTGTCAGAAAGACTGCAGGGTCACAGCCCATCTTAGCTCACAGAAAAGTGTGAAAACAAACCCTGGCAGCTCAGAATGACAAATATAGGACGTACTTTGACTTGATAAGCCAATAAAAGTATGACTACTCAGAGGAAAATGTTCTACCGATTTGTTTATCTTTGACAAATTGTTTTATACTTTAAAAATCCATCATGAAAGAAAAAAAACCTACTTAAACACATAAAATCCAGGTTAAGAAGAAAGTAAAACATTTGGACATTTTCCCGCGATTCACAAGTAGAGCTTCACACATAAGAAACTACAGTGACATCTTGTGGTAGATGTAGAGAATGACAAACGCTTCCTTTAATGCAGTATTTCACAAACCAGTCGTCGGGGACCCACAGACAGTTCACGTTTTTGCTGTCTGGCAGGGAGCTGGGAGGGAGCAGAAACGTGGACCGTCTGGAGGTCCCCGATGGCTGGAATGTGAAACACAGCTTTAATGATTCAAATTACAGAAATAGCGTCTATTTTTAACACTATAATTGATGGTGGCTCTGAAGGGGAAGTTCAGATCTGACTTTTATTATCAGGGATTTTAGACCATTATAATAATAAACTGTGGTGCCCAGAAAGATCACTGGGCGTATCTGTGTTATTTATTAAGACTCTGTATCCAGAGCGACCACGGAGTAATGGCAGCTGTGGGGTTTATCTGTGGGTGTGGCCATGCGGTTTCTTACCTTTAAGACAGATAAAGGTTATGGTTTCATTACCAGCACTTTCTAGAGCATGAATTATCAGTCTGTTTTACTCATTCCGCATGCAGCACCGTGATTGGGAGGGAGAGCCCAGGGCTAGATTAATAAAGAGCAGAAGGAGATGGAAAGTGTGAGGTTACAGTCTACTTTGGTCGTGTCGATGTTAAGCAGATAAAAACAGAACAACACGGGAAGGGCACGATGGAAAGGCGGTTATTTTAGCTCCAGACTAAAGGAAGAGCCCATAATAGCTTAATAGCATGATTGCATTGAACTTTTAACTTGAGAGCCACTTGTTAAATTGAGCTTATTTTCCCGACGAGACGTTTATGGGCTCAGCTCCCGCTCTAATCGCCTTTGCGATGGTGGACCTGACATTGCCAAAGCTTCTGGAGGATTCTTGACAATAGGAACAATGTTGCATGACCCTCTCTCTGCGCTCTGTGGCTCCTGCACTGATATCCGTAGATTACTTATGTATAGATTATGTACATCTGAAAATTTAATAAATTTTTATCTTATATTATTATTTTTCCTTATTTTTTTCTATATTTTGTTATCATGCACAGCTGCTCGGAGTGACCAGGGTCACATTCCACTACATGTTGTTTGTGTACAACTGTGTATGTGACGAATAAACCTCTTGAACCTTGAATCTTGAATTACGCCTCTCCGGCAAGAAAAAGACCATTGTGACTGAAGGCTGTTGAGTGACTGCAGTTTATTGAGAACATTTCTAGCAAGAACAACAGATCAGGGTGAAGCTCATTATATATTCATTCAGATATATAAGCTTACAATTAAAAAAAACACAGGACAGGACAACTGTGACACTCAAAGATGTTTTATATACATGAACGTGAGGATACAGAAGAAGCCATTCCAAGGCCTTCAGGATACTATCCAAACATCTGCCATTCCCTCCGTGTCTCCTCAGGCAGTGTGAGGGGGGTTTTCTCCTTCCTAATTTCCCTTCAGTAGTCACTTGACATCAGGAGGACATTACATCAAACATGCTCAGAATCCACAATGAACTCCGGTGAATATGTCCAGGAGCAGGTGTGGTCCACACCCTGACCCTCCGATGAAGACCATCACTCACTTGGTTTCTCTCTTTCGCTCATCTTATGACTGCCACATCACTGGCCACACGCCCTCAGGGCTTCTCCGTGCTCATTACACAGTTCTGTATCTGATCCCGGACCTGTTACTCTCATGTAACTTCACATTATTCACAACTATTCATTCTAATAAACAATTATCCACTCTAACACTCACAGTAATTTCATTCTGCTGGGCACAATTAGTGTGTGCTGATGATGGAGAGCAGTTATGGTACAACTACCACACATTTAAACATCCAAATATCGTAGGCTATGCAAGAATAACCAATCTATGTAGATTCAAACACTGGTCACTACACCAGGACATTTTAATTGTAAGACAGAATCCCAATATGCTCATATTCTGTCCCCATATGATTCCATCCAGTGTCCAGGAAGGAGAAGGGAACTTGACTCTTAGTCAGTAGGTTGTAAATTCAAGTCCCTCGATATCTGTGATATCTAATTGCTAGTTACTTCTCAGCGATTCACTAAAATCCATGAGTAGTGAGAAAGGCCGCTACCTAAAAGCATTGGCAAGCTAGTAAGTAAAGAGTAAGTTTAACACATGCAGGCCTGAGCAAGAAACACATCTCACACCCATCACGTCCAAATAAGTGTGGCACTGTAAAGACCGCCATTTTCATAGAAAACGCAGACATCCCAGCCCTACATATCTCACAATGACTGTCTGTACAGACTCTTCTTACTCATTTTTATCATGTCACAGTGTCAGGAGCTGCACGTTACATCTCACAGGGCACCAACGCCCAAAAAAAACTGCAAACAGGCCTTTGTTTCCTACTACAGAGACGACAGCAAAATCACGAAGACTCAAATACATACATCTGCCACAGAATCCTCACAAAAAATCAGGGAGTGCTTTGTTCTGTCCAAAACTGCAGAGACACCTTGTGCAGTCCACATTTTGTAGAACTGGTTTGCTTGCGTTCCAGTGATATTCTAATGAAGATATAGGCAGCTATGAGATTCATTTAGAATAGGGTTCAGTCTGTCTTTCTTTCTAATGATATAACTATGAGGTGTGATAGTGTTACTGTGTCTCTCTGAACCCAAACACAGTCCTGCAGTGCATCATGAGATCAGGTTGTTACAATTCAAAGTGCTGCCCTGAGGGTCTGAGGTCCCACAATCCCCAGAACAGTTAACAGTGGTTACATTTGCTAAGCATGCCATTGAATATTGAGTACAACAAAGTATCAGTACAAGTCATTGATTAATGAGGTGATTAATGTATACCCTTCAAGTTCAGCTATTTATAGGTATATTTGTTGTTTTAATTGAAGGGAGAAAATGAAATTGTAAGCAATTTTTGGTGACAATTTCCAAGGGTGTTCAATAATCACAAGTAAATTTTTTTATTTATTAAATGATCAAAATTGTGAGGCCTTATCAATGATTGCTGTGCATGATTTAGTTTGATAAAGGTTACCTGCTGTTTTTAATGTGATTACACCCTATTTGCATATGATTTGCATTACTAATAAAAAGGGATCCAAAATGGTATTATTGTTACTATGCAGTCTATAATATAAATGTTCCATTATTAATGCCCATTTACGATTTCATTTGCAGCAATTAATGCTCATTCTCAGGTTTTACTAATTTCAGTTCAAAAAAAATTTTTTTAGACACAGCAGCTGACATGAAAACTGATCACATGTTGGCCTCAGAAGATGATCAATGTTCTACTGCAGGATAAGTGAAGAACCTTCCAAATCCACACTCAGGAGTGCATGGATGTTGGCCTCCACACATTAGCCTGGATGCCCATCCTGGAAGCACTGAAATTGGGTCTAGGAACTCGGATTGCAGATGAGTTCCCTGGAGCCGGTGATTGCAGGGTGGGGTTAGCCAAGGGGCTGAGCTCCGGGGCACTTTTAAACTGCTTCAGGGCCTGGATCCCGCCGTAGGGGACACTCGAGGTCTGGACAGGGCTGTAGGGAGGGTTGGGGGTAGGGTTGAAGACTGGGGTGGTGGAGAACTTAGGCAGCTCTGGTAGAGCTGAGGTGTAGGTGGGACTGGGATCAGAGGGGGTGAAACGAGGGGTGTTCACAAAAGCTTCCTCAGTGCGCAAAATCGGCTCCCCCAAGGTGGTGGCAGAGCGTGGAGCAATGGTGGTGGGAGCCAAGGACGAAGACGTCGACATAGGTGTCGGAGTTGAGAACCTCTTGATCTCATGGACACGAGCCGCCTTGATGGGCACCTGCTTGGGTGAGACCAGCGAACTGCCCACTGCCCGTCCACCCTGGTGATGTCCGGGTGACTGGTAAGATGAGGCCTCAGGCTGCTGCTTGACACCTCCGCCGTAGGTGAACAAAGAAGAACTCAACTGGTGAGGCTGCCTGCTCAAGACATCAACTGCTTTAATTCCTGGATTCTGTGAGCCCTTCTTAGCACTGCCTGTGGCCTCAGAGGACTTGATGCCGCGCTGTGCTGTCGGGGGGCACGATGGGGACAGCAAGGGATTGTAGCTGATGGGGGGGGGCGCACGAATGTTAGGGGAGTACTTCCACTGCCCCGAGACGGAGGGAGTGGGTGATGGCTGATGGGGCTCCCTGGGGGAGACGAACTGAGCTGGAGGTGGAGTGTCGCTGCCCACCACGTACCTGTCCATGCGGCTTTGTCGGCGGGCAAACAGCTCTGCACCCTTGCCGCCCATCTGTGGCACTGGGGGAGCTGATGGTTTGGGAGCGATGGGAGGTGGGGGGAGCTTGTTTCTTTGGGCTTGCATGAAATTGCAGGCTTCCGCCCCCAGGTTCAGGAGGTCTTCCTCCGGCCCAGACTCGAATCCTCCCTCACCTCCAGCCCGGGGCTTCTCATCTAGGTTCTGAACAAGCGATAGCAGCTCAGGGTTGGGGGAAGTAGCCTTCTTCTCTTCGGGAAGGCTGAACATGGGCTTCTTGGAGCCACGGCGGCGTGCCTCCTGCAGGATCCCTGTGCGAGCCGCTGGCACCGAGATCCTCTGCTCACGGGAAGCTAGGGCCTCAGTGGAGGTGGGTGTGGGATGAGACTGGGCGAAGTGAGGCTCTGTGGTAGGGGCTGGTGGAGTTAATGTGATCAGGGGACTGAAGGACACCTTCTGGGCAGTCAGCGAAGAGTTTACATCATCGGGAGGAAGCCTGGGAGGGTAAGCTGGATATGGAGGTGGAGGAAAGGGCGTAGCAGGTGCAGTGGGAGCAGAATAAGGTAGGGTAGAGGGAGCAAAGAGTGTGGCAGTTTGACAGTAAGGAGCTGAAAGCACTGAGTTAGAAGAGAGAACAGGGGGAGGAGAGAAGGCTCCAGCAGGTGTAGATGTTGGAGAGAAGGGGGTGGTTGGGGGAGAGAAGGGTGGGGAAGTGACAGGTGGAGGGGAGTGTACAGTCTGCGGGGGAACACTGTAAGCAGGAGACCGGGCCGGGATGTAGAGGGAGGAAACGGAGACGGCTCGCTTGACTTCTCCTTTGAAGGGGGAAGAGGTCGATGACCCTTGGAAGGCATCCGCTGCTGGTGCTGCTTGGGCAGTGGCCTTCTTTGCAGCGCTGGGATGGAAAACTACCGGCGAGCTAATGGCACAGTGACTGACAAAGCCAGGTGCAAACGGGCGTGCAGTCCTGTTCAGCACAGAGCCAGAAGGCAGCTCCCCCTGCTGACTGGAGGCTAAGGGAGCGGGGCGACCTGACTCAGAGGCAATGACCTGGGGTGTAATCATGAAGGAGGTTTTGCTCACAGAAAGCAAATCTCCATTCATGGAGTTGTAGTTCATGGGTGTAACTGGTGTAACTGGTGTGACTGGTGTTACCGGTGTAATCTGAATAACAGGTGTGACCGGCATGGTTAATGTGGGAATTTCAGTTACACAAGGCGTCACCGGATTCTTGACTTTGATGTCCTGCAACTCCACTGTCTTCTTCCTTTGCTGTTCAAAGAGCTGGGCACCTTTCCCCGAAGTAGCATTCAGGCCAAGGCCATCCATCTCCGCATCGTGAACCAGAGTCTTCTTCTCCAGGATGTCTAGGTAGTCGCTGTCCCAGGTAGAGTCTGGAGCCGACATAAAACCGTCCTCATCAAGCTCAGATTCACTGCCCAGGAAGATAGCGTCCTCCTCTTCCTCTTCGTCACCGTTCGGACGAAGGTCGCCGTTGACGCTGCCAAAGCAAGTGAGCGTGTACTTCTTTGCACGCTGTCTCCGCTTCTTGAACATGAGCACGCCCTTGGAGTGCGGGTTGGGGGCGTCGGTCAACAGCGAGGCAATGGTGCGGCACTTGGTGCGAGCTTCTTTCACTTGCTTCTCCTGGACGCTCTCACCACGGTGAAGCTCTGCATGGATGGTAGGGAGAGACAAGGGCAAAGGTCAGTGACAGGCCAGTGTAACTTGTTGCAGTTTTTGTAGCTAGCTGGCTATTTGGTGACTGAAGGCGGAATGTAAGACTGGATAGAACAGCCCACTTGACAACAATTACATGACCAGTGCTGACCAAACCATTAAGAGTCATCGATGGCCATCTTGGGCACCCTCCTCTGAGGGGGCGCTGACTTACCAAGTTACTTTCTTTGATGCTTAATCAAAATTCAGAAACGAATGGACGGGGCACGGCACATCTTCAGAGTTACTGGATAAGCAGTTGCGAAAAATGGATGGTTGGATTTAAGGTTGATATTAAAAGAGTTTTGACCTTTAGCATCAAGGGGAACAATGTGGAGCACAGAACGGTAAGCGACTTTTCTGTCCCATGGATAACTCAGCTTGGCATTTAAACGGTGAGCCCCATGAGGTCAGGAGCTAAAAGCAGCAGTAGGAGCCTATTTAACAAGTTTCTGTCCTGTCAGCTCTCTAAACGACGGGGCAGCGGTCCCGCGACGTCGTGGCGATGCCCCGGTTATGTGATACAGCCTGGGGCCTGCGCTGAGAAACTGTACAGGGTGGGGGTTGCGTCACCGGAGCAGAACAAGTAGCTCGGATCAGTAACACAGGACCCCTTACAGTAATACGGGCAGTTGTCCATTTTTAATGACATCCGGAAGTCAGCTGCTCTGCAACTGGGCAAACTGCATAAATTCGAAGCCTGTGACACCAATGCTGCTGACATTTCAGTGTTTCCTGCCATTTTACACCTGAGGCGCATGTTACGCAGATGAGCCAGTGGTTTGAAGGTGATCCAACTGAGGTTCTTGAGTTTTCATACTGATACACACCAGATGCTTGAATTAATTTGGTAGAATCAGGATGACATGACCTAGGTATGTAATAGGAACTAATGAAAAGCAATTTTAAGACCATAATGAGGCAGAGTAAATAGAAACCAACTGAAAAACCAAAAGAATGGTATAAAGGAACAGACAGGAGAAAATGTTCTATATGGCAGGTTGGCACTTAATGGGTTGTCCGACCAACCAAATGAAGTCTATGAGTTGTTCTATTACAAAATGAGGTCTATGTCTGAATGCCCTTACGCTCTTCATGGTGCTGCTGTGATTCAGGTCTCCAGCATGGACACTAACAATGACTGTCCCCTTGGGTTTCAAATTTTCTGAGCTGTATCACAAGAAATCACACAGCTGTCCTTGGGGGTTGGGGGTGTCCATAGAGACTAAACATTAGTCATCCCCTATTAATACATTTATGGATCTGACACCCTGACAGGGTATTCCTTGGAGGATGTCCCGATGTTCACGCTCCCCAAGACTGCTGTCATTGGCCCTTATCCCCGTCACTGCTCTTGCCAGTGGACATGTTCTGAGGATACGATCGTGTGGATTGTGAAGGTCCCTCTACTGGACAGATGGACTGACCACAGTGACCTATAGTGGAATGCATCCATCCACAGTGACCACCACTCTGCAAAGATTTGCCAAACAAACAAACAAAGGCAAACAAACAGGCAAACTAAGGGCATAGAGCACATCTGGCTCATACAAAGCAGTTCTCGAGTGAAACACGGTTTCCTGTCTCTACACTGTCTTCACACTGGCTACCCAAACCAAGGGATGAACTGTAGAAGCAACTCCTCAAAGGGGTTCACCATTGACTGATGGTCAGGTCAAACTAAAGAGGACTACCACACATTAATAGTCAAAGGTTCATGAAAAGGTCCACCACTGACTAATGGTCACATCTCTCTGATAGCTCTCTTGTACCACACAAGGTCACAGGTCTCTGACGGTGTCTACAGATTTTCAGTGTGTCTCTGATAAGAGCTCCACCACACGCACTTCTTTCTCCAGAATCTCTCCATAAACACTTACCTGTAACTAGAGACTTTACTTCTCGCCCCAGATAAATATGTCCCACAAATATCACTGTAAAAGCAGTGCCAAGATGTGCCAGCAGTACCAACAAGCCCATTAAGTGGTTGTTTTATTTTGTCACATAGTTTATATATTCTGGCAGACTTATTCCTTGCGTACCTCTAAGTGAGACAGAAAGCAAGAGATCCTATTTGTACCTGATAAACTTGTTTTCACATTCCCAAGCTGACGATAGTGTTCTAGAATCTGAACTTGCACCAGTCAGGTCTAGGGATGATTAATCAATTAATCAATCATAAAAAATGCACGCATTTTAAACAAACAAGTTCTATCCAGCATCTTGTCTGTTGCTGTTAACTGGCAGAGTTGAAATCCCCTAAAATCCCAGTGAAGGCACAGCAGCCAGTCACCCCCAGTAGCCCCACCCACAGTCCGCTGGCCTCGCCAGTGGCCCCCGCCGCCTTACCCACCTGCGTACACGGAGTGCCCGCAGTCACTGCTCGTCACCAGGGGATGTTCGCTTGGCATTATGGGGAGACGGACCCGCGGGAGTCTCCTGTCCCCTGCCGATGGCTCTCCGCTCTGATGGTCAGACTGGAGGGTCTCCGTCATGTAGCTTCCCTTCTCCAGATAACTGCCCATCATCCCTAAACTATCCAGCCCCCCCCCACCCCCACCCTACCCTTTTGTCTAACCACCACATTCTTGGCACCCTACTGAGCAGCATTAGGTCATTCTGATCTATTTTTACCACTGATGGACAGGATCCACCTGCCAGTTTTGCCTGAGGACAGGGGACGTGGGGGAGTTGTGTTTAGACAGACTACGGGCCATCCTGCCCCCCTCCCCCCACTGCCCCCAGCTGCTCCCCTCCTTTCCCTGGGATTCCAGGCTAAGGGATGGGGGGTTGATATTTCCAGTTCCCTGCTGACGTCTGACACTAATGTGTAACCTTTGCCCCCCCCCCCCCAACCCTGTTATCAGACACCCAAAGTCAAACCTGTAAATAGGTGTGATGGTTCCGAGGCCTGGCCAGGTCTGGTATTAGGATCAGAATCGGTATCGGTATTGGGATCGGTATCGGTATTGGGATCGGTATCGGTCCAATGGAGCTTTAGCTACATTCGGAGTCCAGATTGCACCACTGCTGGGTGTCCATCTGTCCTGTCCTCCACTGCCAGTTTAATCTGTTTTCCCCTGATCACTTACACAGTGTAGGTACTTCTTCTCAAACACAAACTAAATTTAATGTAGCCTTTCTTTTTGGAAAGAGATGAACAAAACGAGATAAATATAAATTTAAAAAACGATGTTCAGATGTCCAGAGTCCAAAAATAGTCACAATATATTTGGCAACATTTCTCATTCATATAAATTCTTACATTTTATTTATTTAGTAGACACTTTTATCTGAAGGTACATTTTTGAGAGATGGCAGGGTCACACACTCCCTGGAGCCAGAGACCTTCCGATCACCAGCAGAGTGTCACAACCCTCTGCGGTACCCTATCCCCCATCGTACGTAACCCTCTGCGGTACCCTATCCCCCATCGTACGTAACCCTCTGCGGTACCCTATCCCCCATCGTACGTAACCCTCTGCGGTACCCTATCCCCCATTGTACGTAACCCTCTCCGGTACCCTATCCCCTATCATACATAACCCTCTGTTTCTCTTCATGCTGAAATCACTGTATGCTGTAACAATAACACTTGCCTAGCTTCTGTGTGTAGATGCCATATTAACGTATGGACCATCACTCAACATCACAACGAATGTTAATCCCAGAGCTTTATTCCAGCTCTCAGTGAGACAGCATTGCAGGAACAAGAACCGCAGGTGCACTTTTGGCAGTTTGAATATCTTTACAAGGCAGCTCTGCAAGCAGAAGGTTGGACACCCGGGGCGAGGTCCCGTTGGTAGATTAAGTGGGATCTCTTCAGCAGAACAGTCAGCTGTTCTATCTGGGACCAGCGTCATCCCTTTGGAAAATGGAACCGGGCATAAATAATGTTCTCATCTTCCTGCTGCTCGTCCTATTGTCTGATGGAGGAGAACAGCTGCCCAGGTTATATTTGGGCACCCTTACCTCTTACTTCACCCTCCAGGTCTGACCCTGCCTCCTGTCCTATCCAGACACGCACTCCGTCTAACACACGTCACATGGAGGGAAACTTCCAGTATGCTACATTACTCTTAATCTTCACTAACTAAATTGTTCTAATTTATTTTGCTGGTAAACCCGACACAGTGGGTGTGTTGTGCTTTACGTATCATTTACTCACACACGGGAGCCTTATGTAACAGTTCGTTTGCGCTTAAGGTTTCTGCTTCAGTATGAATATTTTAGGTATTTTGCTAGCAGGGCTGCCTGTCTGTGTTCATGGATGTTTGTGAGGGCAGAGTTTGGGGTGTGTGGATGTACACGTCCGTGAGTGTTTCACGTGCTGGTTTGCATGTGTGCGCGTGTGCCTAAGCGTGCAGGACGGGCTCTATCGGGAATCTGACACGAGACAGCAGCTGGAAATGCCTTGTGTTATCTGACTGAGTCACAGGGCAAATATAGCCCTAGTTTGTGCCTCTCACCCAGATTATCGCAGTACCTGGGTCCTTCACTAAGACCCTGGGCCCTTCACATGTCAAACAAAAGACCCAGTTCCACCTCAACACCTTCTGAGGCTAAGAGATAATGAACAGTGCCCCCAGATGGAGACCCCATGTGTTTGTTGTAGGACACGTCAACAACGTAAGCCATTTAGTAATTGCTATGACGATGTTGCGAAACCAGCATTTATTTTGTCCCAGACAAATCTATCACTCCCATCAACTCTGGGGAGCAACCTTGCATAAACAGGCCACTGTGTAAAAAGCCTCTCAGTCTCCAGAGGGACCCTCATGGCTAATTGGTCGTTTCCGGATTGGGACATCCCTCAATCCCCAATGGCACCAAGTTTATAATGGAACAACAGCCATCATTGGCTGAGGTACTTACTGGCTTGCTTGGCTCTGTCCCTGTAGGTAACAGTGAGCTCCTCGTCCATGGGCTGCATCACAGGCCCCACAATGGGCACCAGGGCCCCCGTGGACACAAGCCGGAGGGCCTCCTTTGCCCGCTCAGGGGCCACCAGGGGGGCCAGGCCCGGGAGCTCCTGAAAGCCGCTGTCAGCTTCGTTGGCACCGGGGCCGTCCGCGGCGCCTTGCTCGTCACAGGCCCGGGTGTCTCCGATGCCGTTCTCAAGCGGCGTGGCCCAGCCCTCCTCAGGGGGCCGGAAGACCACCTCCCTCCTGGCCACTCCAGGCGGGTTCTCCCGCCGGCCCCCGCCACCGCTGTCACTGTTGGGACTTCGGCGTCTCTGCCGCCTCTGCCGTTCCTGCACGGTGTCGGCATCGCTGTCCGTTTCGGCGTAGTATGCCTCGCTGCCCGGGGGGGAGGCCACCCACTCCCGGCCCGTGGGGGAGAGCAAGCCTCCCCGGGGGACCTCAGCCGGCCTTTGGGGGGCAGAACCGGTGCCGGGCGGGGACAGGGCCCGCAGGGCCGCTCGGTACTCCTTGTCGATGCGGGGGGACGGGGCGCGATCCGGGAGCACCACGGACTGGAAGCCCACAGGAGGCCTGGAGAGGGCAGGAGAACAGCAGATAAGATAACGGCCATGAGGGGCCATGTATGCCGAGCCGTTCATTCCTCCATGAACGAGCCATGACTCAAAGGGCCAAAAGGATTTGTAAGCAGGCATTCAACAGGACAGCTCATACACAACGTGCCTGATCCATGCCACAGAAGGCTAGAATTACAGACAAAATGGGATGCTAAATATTGATGCTGAATACTGACATTAATATCCTGGTACAGTGCCCCCTTATAGGAAGGAGGACAAAGAACATCTTTCTCAAAGCAAGTCAATATAGTACCCTGTAACTTTCTGTTCGATGTCATCAGTGGTAGTGGAAGGAGTTTCGTCATTTTAAAAAAGGACACTTTAACTGTACAGTTTCACAAATAGCATAACAAAAAAAAACAACTGATCCATATGATGAAATGGGTTTGTCTGATACAGGCCCACAGGCTTCATCAGGTATATGTTACATCCTCGCGCTCTCTCTGCATGCACAGTTAATTGGCTTCAGTGATGCGCAGATTCATAATAATACTTTTTTTTTTGGGACCGGGGGGGGGGGTCTGCGTTCCCCGGTCCTCCCTGCCTGTCATTCTAACCTCTTGATACTGATACGAAGCATCCCTGTGCAGCTGTCGATCAGGCTCATGGCTTGGCCGTGGGTCAGCTGCCCACACCGCTGCTCATTGATTGACAGAAGCTCATCACCTTCACGAAGACCTGCCCGGCATGCCTTGCTGCGCTTCCGCACCTTGACCACCAGGGGGAGGCAAAAGTACCACAGCTACAGTTAACAAGGTAAGACGAAAGACATTCAAAACCATGTAAAAGAATGTACTAAACATCACTGACAAATAAAATGTTTCCCAGCAAAAAAAGGGGATAATATTTAACACAGTCAGACTGCAACCGTCATTGACTTACAGTGCATATAAAAAGTATGTTAAAATGCCAGGTTTTTGTGATTTAAAAAAGGAGACCATGTTAACTCCCTCCCCACCTTTAATGTCACCCATAACCTGTACAATTCAACTTTTTGGGCAGAAAACATAAAAATAAAAAACATACCATAAGCTGGATGCATAAGTGTGCACACCCTTAAACTAATACTTTGCTGAAGCACCGTTTGATTTAATTACAGCATTCAGTCTTGTGCCCCATGCTGACTATAGGGGCCCCCCAGGATTATTGTCTGGATGGATGGATGGATGGATGGATGGAAGGATGGACACAGGAGCGGGAGACAGGGTGTTTATGGGGTGCTGCACACCAGTGAGGAGAGTGCTTTAAAGAACACTGTCAGAGGGCCACGTCTGTGTTTTTATCCTGTTAAAAATATAAACCTGTTCAAGGTGAGAGCACACCAACCATGATGGGGGGGCAGGGGGGGGGCACTCACAGCCTCACAGCCTGTGTCCCCAGGCCCTCAATAAATAGGCCATTTTCTTAGTATTTCTACTCCGTGTATTTTTACTGAGCCTAAAGCAGGGCCTTAAATTAACACATATGTGACCCGCACGTGCTGCAGCGCCACCTTGTGGCCCGGAGGTCCATCCCATGCTGGGGGACAGCTCATCCAGATGTATAAATAGGTGACAGAACACGCCGGAAACAAAGTGGAGCCGCGTCTTGGACGGAAAGGGTGCGAATGCTCGGTGAACCTCACGTGACTTTTGATGGGCTGATATTTAAGTTTCTTTTACTGACCACTGACTTCCAATGAATTTTAATCCAAATCTAAAGCAGCAGGGATGCTGACTGTTCACTGAATGTACACCCAGTACAGCACGCCTTTCTGACACGTTGCAGAAACAGCACCCCCTTCTGGCTCAAACTCAGCAGTCCATCTTTCAATGAGACACCTTTTCACTAGGGTACAGCCCCCCCCCAAACCAGCACTAGTACCCGTGCTCAGGCATGCCAGGAATGTGTCACACACCCCAAACAGACCTGAAATAAGCCCCACACTTCAGAAGGATCAGGTAGCAATTTGTTGTAAATGAATATTAAAAAGCCCTGATTAAATTTGTGAGAACCCCCCCCCACCTACCAGCCAAGAGTGATCAAAAGAGAACAAATCGCAGACAGACAACATCAGAGTACATGACAGCATGGGTTTGAGACATTTGAGCATTAGGACGCCCGACGCTGGCATGGATACCATGCCCGCGGGTTAGCGGGGGGGCGCGTGTGATGGCGGGCATCGGGGACGGTCATTTAAGGGAACTGCTTGGCAGATGAAGCCAAAGGGAAAAAAACACAGGAGCTGAGAGCAAAGTCCAGAGGTGACCTTGTTGTTACAGAGAGGGGTGGACAAGATGGGAGTCAGTCAGATTTAACCAGCGCTGGGGCGACTCAAATCCCAAACCACCTCACAGAGAACTGAAAAATAGGCCAGCGGGCAAACATGAGCCGGTCAGAACGGCTGTCTGATCAGAGCAAAAGCAAACCAATGACGCTCTCGCTCTCAATGCCATTGCACACGACTATTAATAGAAAGCTTGTGTTTGCAAACTGTCCAGAAGACATTTTACCTTTGAATGGGGTCTATTCTGGTTAACCGTGCTCTATGAATAACAATGCCCATGTACTACGAAGGTTACGGAATTCTGAGATTAGTGTCGTGGGAAATATCTTGGAATTACAGGGAAGCCAAACAAGTGGCAGAGTCATTGGGCTTAAGATAGCAGCCCCAGGAAGCCTTTATTTGGAAGGGCAAGCTCTGGGAATTACAGAACAGCTTTCCCAAACTAGCTCATATTTTTTTTTTGTTCTGTTTTTTTTATGGAAATCTACAAGGTTTTCTGACATCAACATGAAACATTCAGCAACATGTGATCAAGAAATATGAACTGATTAATAATTCTATGTACCATACATTTACACGAGTCCTTTTAATTGTAAAATATTTTATAAATTCCATAAGTTCAAAATGAGTTCCAGCTGTCCACTACTGCTTAACAACCCTACAAACTTTAAACGAGCCTTGCTGTTCATAGTTTGCACCATGTGCCCATAACTGCAAATTATTCTATAATAATTCATCTAAAAATACATGTTTCAGAAACAAGCAAACTTGTAGCAGATGATGACACTAAAAAGGTCCCAGTTATTCTAAAGCAGCATTCATTCAAAACCAAGGTCTCTGTGCGACCCTCTCCAACACAAGGCCTTAGGTAGATGCCAGTGCAGAATTCCACACCACCTTCTCATATGCAAATCTACACATATTTCCTCTGATGATCCTACATAAAATGCACGTGCTACCTTTTAACATCTACGGCACATGACCGAATCGATCATTTGAGGAAGGTCTGAGAAAACTACAAATCCCAAGATGCCAAAGCAAATGAAAAATGCCAAGTGGCCATGGCAGCTTTTCAGGTGGGTCTGAAGCTCCTGGGCCGACAGGCCGCTCTCCGATTACGATGGCCAGCGTGTGACCCTGGACTCTATTTGTCCTGACAAGAGAGTTACCCTCAGAACTTGGGACCGAGCTGCACTCAGCGATGGAATAACAGCACAAAACTCACGCCAGCATTAAGGATGCTTCATCTACACCACTTTCTGCTCCTCTTCCTCCTCCTCTTCCTCAGCACCCCGCTTACCTTGGACACCTCCAGCCGCTTCTGGTGCTCGGCGCCACCCTGGAGACGGAAGCCCCAAGGAGCGCCGCCGCACAGCGTGATCACCGCCTCCTCCGCAACCATGGCTCTACCTGTACTCTGCCTCCCGAAGCTCGTCCCTTAGCTTGCCTGTCTCTGCCAGGGGGGGGGGGGGTCTCAGCGGTCCCCGGACTGTCAGAGAGGGGTACTTCCCTGACGGCTGAGCTCGCCCTGTGGCTGGGGTAAAGTCCCAGCTCCTCCTGGAGGCGGCTGGGGACACGTGGGTGAACCCCACACACACACACACACACACAAGCCGAGCAAAGGGGAGAAAGAGAGATAAACAGGTGGGCAGAGAAAGGAATCAGAAGGGCTACTGGCCAGAGCTACCGCAGCACATGCCATGGAATGCCATACTGACAGGCGGAGGGGGGGAGGGGGTAAGGCCTTCCTGTCCACCCCAGTTGTCCTGTCAATCGGGCCCCTTAGGCAGTCAAAGAGGGGAATGTCGATAGCCTTTCCCAAAATAAACCTCTGATTGGAGAGCTTTGTCTCCAAGTGGCTCCAAAAGCCTCTGCAGGGGCTATTTTAAGAAGATAACAGACTCACTGGAAGCCCAAAAAAAGGCATTTTAAGAGAGAAGGAGGGCTGAAAACCTAAGAAGTGTCAGATAGGATCAGCACACTAACACCAATATATGCCTGAATATACTAAGTCAAAGGATGATCCAGTTCTTATTTTGGAGTAAGTATTAGGAGCTAGCCTCATGAAGCGAAAGCAAAGTTAATGTTTATCAATTAACTTTGCAAAACAAAACAACCTGGACCTAAAGAGCTCACACAGTCATCATGACAACTAACACCACCACTTCAGGATTTCAGGAATCTTCGGTTTTCAGCAGAACCTGCATTTTCATTCGCACCGCCGGTGTAGTGGAATGAAAGCACTTAACAAATGGGATTATTGACAAGTGCTGAAATGAACGACATACTTGCAAGCCAGTCAACAGCACTATCAGACTGCAGCACCCTGATAAGAGGCAACGTGCAGAGAGAAGCTGCCACAGAGGGTGGCAGCCGAGGGGAGGATCTGTGTTACCATGGTGACCGACCACCATCCCAGTGCACAGACACCTCAGGCAACAGATCCAGGTGGAGAGTGATTGCAAAGAGACACTCCTGAATATGTAGATGATGCTGGCTTGGTGGATTTGGGAGTTTGAGGCTTGTGACTAAGGAGCAGTCTGGCATGGTCACATCTTGTAGAACTGAGTTTTTTAAGTTATATCAATGAATTAAATATTGTTCTGGATTGCTGAAATGGACTGTCATGTCTTTTTTTTGCCTTTTGGTTATGACCCAACCTATTGCCCTGTGCGTCAGTCTCATGCTTGCAAAACATTTTCACCCTCAACCTGATATGAATGAATGAAAGTTCAACCACAGCCACTCTGCAGCACCCATCTGGATTATGAAGCCAGCCATTCTGCACCAGCAAGTCAGAACCTTGGTTTTACACCTCATCCAAAGGACAGCGCCATTTTCACCGTGCAGTGTCCCAATCACTGCACGGGGGCATTAGGATCCACACACACCACAGGATGGGCTCCCCTGTCAGCCACAGTGTCCCCATCACTGCACTGGGGCCCTCACCGACCTCAGGATGGGCTCCCCTGTCAGCCACAGTGTCGCCATCACTGCACTGGGGCCCCCACCGACCTCAGGATGGGCTCCCCTGTCGGTCAGTGTCCCCATCACTGTACTGGAGCATTGGGGTCCACACAGACTTCAGGATGGGTTCCCCTGTCAGCCACACCATCACCTCTTCCAACAGCAACGCAGTTTTCCTAAGTTGGTCTCCCGTCGAAGTACTGGTCAGGCCCAAACCTGCTTAGTTTCAGACAGATTACCTAGTCTGAACTGCAGGGGTATAGACAGTGAATTAGGTAGGAGAGAATCATAAATTAAATATTAACTATGAAATCAACTGCAGAAAAGTACTTTAACTGGACTGGTGTATGAGTGCATAAACTCTGGTAGACTGGCATCCCATCCAGGGTATCCACAGCAATTTACTCAAAATGAAAGTAAATAAAATGAATGCCATATAAATATGTATTTCAGTGACTTAATTTTTATAATTTTTATTCTGCAAATAAAAAAATAAAATTCGTATTCTAGACTTGAAGGTGATAAACGCGCCAATATTATGCATTATGCCACTGTTACCGTATTGCGCAACGGGCCCGGCGTCGTGCTGATGCAGTTGACGCAGCTTCCGTCTGCGGACGTGGCATACACCGGCTGTGCTTCCGGTTTGTGCGTCCTCGGAAAGCGACTCGGGGGAAGCGATTGGCGGAGAAACTCGCTCCGGAACAGGAGACTCTGACCTGCGGTTGTAAGCCGAGAAAGGCGCCTTACCAACACCTCAGCGGAGCCACGGCGGCAGACAACCGTGCGCTGGTCTGGGAATTAAATCGTACCGTATCGCTCTGAGGGTGAGTGCGAGGGTTTTTTTTTTTGCCGGGGCTAGGCTAACAGCATCGCCGCACGTCAGCTAGCTGGCTTCCCGGTGGGTTCCGGTGTCATCCGGTGAGCAGGCCCTGACCGAAACTGGCAGCTATACGCAACGGTTCTCGATAGCCTGGCGTCTGGGTAATCAATATCCCGGCCGAAATGTCCTGAAATGCCGCGACACATGCGGGCCGTTAGCCTTGCGCGAGCCGCGAGCGCCTTGTCGGCTAAGTGGTTCTGCTCGCTTAGCTTCGAGGGGCTAGCATGTTAGCTCCGGTCCCTGGATGTGTCGGCCGGCTTTCATTTTAAACTCGCATGAACACGGACACTAGGTTTTATACACCCCGTGTTGGCTATTTATTAGATCTGTATTTTCACACTGAGACCCCGCTTCCGTCACGCTGTAATAGCTGTGACGACGGGCCAGTGGTTGACATTAGGTCGTGCTCTGTGCTTTAGGATATATAACCGTATGATTGTTAGCGTATCGGATTTCGCAGCATCCATGTTTTGCTGCCGGGCAACTAACGGATTATAAAGGGTCGGTGATGGACGGGCACCAGCTCCAGAGCCTTTGTGGAAAGTGGTAGGCTGTGTTTGGATGGTAGCACTCGTATGGCCGTGGCGTGGGTGTGTCATTTATACACACACACACACACACACACACACACACACATTGTTTGCATTTCCCCGCATAGGCCTATTAAGTTTAGAAAGGGATCACTTTACTCTGAACAAATAGGGTCCCAGCACACAAACTCGGATTTAGTACTCTGCTAGTAAAGTTGTTGTCCTAACAACCGTCTAGTGTTTCTTTTTAGACTGGCGAATTTGCATTTCTTCTGCTGTTTTATTCTGGGGTGTGGCTGAGGAGAGCAAACAGCATTCTGTGACTGCATGCCAGGACACTGCCTAAATGGTCTGGTAAAGCTGGTGTTAATGTCTTGATTTGAATGCTTAGGGCATTACACACTCTTCATCCAGCCTTATCCCAGTAGCTTATGTACATGTGTTATATTATCCAGAAGTAGGCTTTGCTGTTTGCCCCCTGGATAGTTCACGGGTTTTATGTTATATGCTTTGGGTTGGTACGACACACAAAGGAGACGGCTGAAAAGATGTTTCAGCCCTTGGCATCATTGGCAGGATTCCACCCCTGTTCTGAGGAACACTGATATAAACAAACAGAAGTGTGTACAGCATGTCTATCAGCACGTCAGAGTGCATGCCCAGAGAAATACAACTTCATTAAAATCCTTCCCATCATTGCATCCACCTGCCTTGCTTAACAGTCCTAATGTACTCTCTTTTATTTATATGGATTTGTGTCTGAAAGGCCTCTGGATTAAACATTGCCGGTTAGGTTTGGTCGATATCCAGCTGTATGCATGTGCTGGTTAAAACTATGAGCATTGGGAGTTTTAACGTGTCGCTGTGTCATGTCGTAGGTTCAGGGATGAACTAAGAATGAATGTCAACCAGCAGCCACACATCGCCACTCCATACGGGCAACCTCCGCTTCAGGGCTATCAGGTGTACGGCCAGCCGGGGTATGGGGGACCCCACGCCACCCCTTATGGGCCTTACAATGGTCACAATGCAGCGTACCAACAGGACGCACCCCCGCAGCCCCCAGGTAAGAGCCTGCCTCCCAGTCACATGGTCAGCAAGGGATGATGGGTTCAGAGAAAATGAGCCATTGTTGGTATTAATCTCAAGAAATGTATATTTTTATGTTATTTAGAAAAACATCAACTGAAGCAAAAACTTGCTAGCATGGGAGGGCAGATTGAAGTGAAGGTTATTGAAATTCATCTGCAAGTTTGGTGTCCTGCTCTGGGCACATCACCATTGTTGTTTTTTCTCCGCATTACTATGTTTGGGTGTTTGGGACAGCCGGGATGATATAGACCTCAGGCTTCCCCTTGGAACTGAGAAAGCCAGGCCCGGTTCTCCCCCACCACCTCTCGCCTCCCTTCCTGATGCCAGGAATGCAGATGATTCTCTCCAACCTTCCATCTTAAGAGAGCTACTTGCCGTCCTCTGGCCACTCATCTCTCCTCTCTTATATTTCAGGCTATCCTCCCTATTCCAGCTTTCCCTCTAAGACCTTTGCTGCCGGCCTATCCTCTGACCTGTCGTCTTCTTCCTCCTTTGGCCTAGGTAACTCGCTCAGCTTTGCGTGGCTCTCTCAGCCTGTGCCTTCTGCCCTACGGTGTTGAAACGCTGTCACTGTTGTCTTTGTGCTGGGTTGTACTGTGCTCCTTAGCAACCTCGGTAGTGAATTGTTAAGTAGCTTGAGTTACCTATCTCAGTTATCACATTCAATTAGTAATTATTTAACATAATAAAAAATTTAAGCCTTGACCCTTTCTTGAACTATCAGTCTGATGAGCAGACAGCTGTTCTCCCAGGTCTGACAGGGCATAGGCTACCTACATGCTGTAGACAGTATATGGAGATGTAATTAAGCTGCTTGGTCAGTTTTGTACTTTTGCTGCGTATGAAACTTCATGGCAAACGTCAGACATGGTACTGAAATGATGGTGACTTTGTGTGCCCCACCCTTCCCAGGTCCCGGACGAGTGCCCCCCAGTTCAGGGACTCCTCCAGTTTCAGCTCCTGGCTATGACCAGTACCCCCAGGGGGAGGTGCAGAATGGGCCTGCCCTAATAGCCAGCCAGCCGCCCAGGTGAGTGCCAGCCAGCGCCAGCTCTTCCATGATCACCTTACATTTACCTCTTTATCAAGTATGGTTTTGAGCCTTTAAAAGTAAAGCACGCTGCCTCAGCTCATCTATAAAAATGTGGTATGTTTGGGGCACAGAATGTGTTGTGTGTAGTTTTGTTCCTGATGCCTTCTACCTTTTTTTGGGACAGACCCCCAGCCTCGCAGGCCTACGCCCAAGTCCCTGTCACTCTACCCGCTACCCAGCCTCTGTATCATCAGCAGTATCAGGCTCCACCCACGAGCACCCAGCAAGTGACCAATCAGATGGCTGGCATGCAGATCGGCACTGCTCCATCCCAAGCTGGTCCTTATGGTGATTAGCCTGAATTTGACATTTTGATTTATTATACTTATTTTTTTTATTATTGAT